CTGTTTAGCCAAAGGGGAGACAGTAGGTCTCCCCCTCCAGCAGCAGAACTGTGTATCTAAAGGGGAGACAGTCGGTCTCCCCCTCCAGCAGAACAGCTGTGTATCCAAAGGGGAGACAGTCAGTTTCCCCCTCCAACAACCAGGCTCCAACCAGGCTACTCCCGAGACCGCTGGTCTCTGCCCACTCAGCAACCCACCAAGGCAGCTTACCAGTCACCCACACAGCCATGGGGAGGCACCTGGACATGGAAAAAGTTCTCCTCTACCCAGGTGTAGTATCCAGTTATTGTGGGTGGGCTGTATTACTGATTGTGTTTTGTGGGTGGGCTGCTGGACTAATAAGGGCACTGACCGGCAGGAGATCAGATACCCTGTTAGTCTGTTTGGAAAAGGGGAGAGATGTGACGAGACCAATCTCTCCACTGTGCATTGGAGGAGCCTGGTTGCCCGCCTGCTGCCTTTAGACTATGGCCCCATGTTGAAACGCTTGAATTTCCCCTGCGGAGACACGAAAGCCGGGGTATTCGGTGCTGGCCCTGTTTGAGCGGTGATACCCCAGATAGCTATGCCATAGAGCCCATTCGTATAATGAAAGACTATAGGAAAGACTTTGGCTCCATGGCAATTGAACTGTATGTGTGTGCTCTGAGCACCATTCAGTAATAATGTGTGCTCAGATCTCAGCTATCTGGGGATATGTTGAATGTACCTGTTTTCTGCAATGGCTGCACAGTTATATATTTTTATGTGTTTTATTGTCTTTTGCTGCCATGTGTTCAATGGAGTTTTGCCTCTGTCCTTGGAGATAATTGGATTACTTCCCAATTATCTCCAGGATAGAAGACTCTGTGGAACTGGTTTTGGGCAGAAAAGCCATGCTTCTTTTGGTCACAAAGGACTACGCTCTATCTTGTGAACCACTCGACCAATTTGTATGATTTTGACGTATGTTTGTATTTGGAGTATGCTGATTCTGAAAATGTAAGTTATATGTGAATGTGATGCATACTTTTCAAGTTGTGAATAATGTGGAAAAATTGTATTTCTCTGCTTGTTATAATTACATTACCCATTGTGTAAGGTAATTGTATCACAGGCAGAGGGGAGGATTTTGTGTGGGAGTGTCTGAGTGTATTGTATGTGTTTATTGGTTGTGTTCCAAAACCCTGTGGGTGGTACTAATGTGTAAGAATGTGTACATAAGAACAATAAACCCACAGCTCTCTCTGTTCACTGCTTGACCCTCAACACAGAGCTTTGTCTCGTTCTTGGGGGGATTTATTGTATGCTGTTCCAGTTCGACTGCTAGGAGTGTTAACCTATTCGTATGGTTTTTCCTATTCGGCTGTTTACGGCATTCATATGGTTTCCTGTTCAGCGGATTGGTGTTCTGCAGTAGCTGTGCCTGTGTCTCTGGAAGGGGAAGATCTACTAAACGGCGGTTTAACCCTTTTATGCTGAGGGTGCCGTAACAACCTGTTTCAATTAAAGGGTTACTCCAAGCAAGATAACCTCTACAGCCGATTTTTTTTGTGGTGAGGATGCCAAGTGTACCCTAGTAATGCTTTACAACAGTGTGCCACCTTCTTGAGTCCCACTGGGCAACAATGATGACTCACAGATTGGTGGCTTAGACACATTTGGCATCTGAAGAGCTGCAGAAGCTGAATGCTAATAATTGTTGTTGTTCATTTATTGTCTGAGAGAATCAGTTGAGCACGTTTAACCAATGAATGAACCTCTGTGCATATAATATGCGCAGGAATAATATTACCAAGCCCGGATCTCTTGTTCTAATGGCTAATGACAAACCATACGTGTTGTTATACCTGCGGCAGCAACATGAAATATCTCAGAGTGCGCAGTGTTCATACTAAAATGCTGCATGTACAGGGTCTTTATACCATGACCACTTCAAAACAATTGACATGAGCATGAAGATATCCCCTGGACTGCAAGGAAGGGGAGGCATGATGTTTAAAAAAAAAAAAAGAGTGAATTTATACCTATTTTCTAGTTGCAAGCCAGGCCTTCCCAGCAAGATGGTGGATTTGTCAAGGGAGGATTTGCTGGGGGTGCTGCAGACCTACCTGTCGTCCCATGGGTCCGGTTCCCTGGCGGACCTGATGGCTGACCTTCCCCAGGCCCGGATGGAAGCAGAGCAGCCGGTGGCGGAGACCCCTTCTCTGGCCCGCGGGAGGAGGCCGAGGCATTCTAGGCCTCCTTCCCGCCTTTCCCCCAGTCCGGTGCGTAAAGGAGGTGTAGCGGAGGCCAGGACCAGCGTACAGCAGGCGGCTGCGGATCATGTCGACGGCGATGGCGGATCCTGGGCTTCCAGGAGGCAGCCGCGGGTGTGAGGAGCTGCGGCAAGGCGGGCCCAAGATGGCGGAGTGCGGGAAAAGCGCCCTTGCAGCCCACCTTCTCGTACGGTCCGGCAGGAAGTGACGCATTCGACGTCTGACGTCCGGGCTCCGGCTCCGGCCGATAGGGCCCAGGCATGGGGGGTCTTTTGTCCCTCTCTACCTGGTTGTGAATTATCCCCCTTGGGTATGTATGTCCCGGGGGAGACACGGGATAAGATTCTAAATGGGGAATTTGTGGACTTTCTGTCCCTGGTTTCCCCGGACAGGGATTCTGTGGATCGGCCGCGCCGCAGCAAACCACAAGACCCTGAGAAGGGTAAGCAAATCCCACGTACGTTTGGGAATTACAGGGCTTCGCGGTTTTCGCTAGTATTCTGACCCGTCGGTTTCCGGATAGGGCGCCGGCGTTGTTCGGGTACTTGGATCTGATTTGGGGTACGTATAAGGTGTATGGTGGGCAGAGCTGGTTCCGTTACAACCAGCAGTTCCGTCAGAAGATGGTGGCGTGTCCTGGACTGGACTTCAGCACGCAGGATGGTAGCCTGTGGCTGTTACTCATGACACCTAGTCGTCCGGCGTCCTTTCCAGGGGCAGCCGGCGCTGGAGCTTCCTCGGGTGCGCCAGCTGGGCAGAAAAGAGGAGTGTGCTGGCTCTTCAATGAGAGCCGCTGCAGGTGGTACTCCTCCTGTAGGTTTAAGCACGAGTGCTCGCATTGCGGGGGGGCTCACCCCGCCATGCGATGCTTTAAGAAGGCGAAGCAGTCCATCCCTAAGGCAGGGTCCCGAGAGGATGGTTCCAAAGGGGAGGACCCCAGTGAGCGTGGCAAGGATGTTGCCATGGCTCGAGGCCTACCCTAAACGCTGCGACGCCGCGGTGTTGGAGGAAGGGTTTTCAGTCGGATTCTGGATCCCCTTTGTCTTCTCGGCGGAGCCACTGTTGGCAGAAAATCTTCTGTCGGTCCAGGGTAAGGAGGAAGTTTTGGGTGCTAAATTGAGGAGTTGTCATTGGGGCGCATGGCGGGGCCGTTTTCGTTCCCCCCATTTCCCAACTTGCAGGTATCGCCCTTGGGGCTGGTACCAAAAAAGGTGCCTGGCTCCTTTCGGTTGATTCATCACCTGCCCTACCTGGCTGGGAGGTTGTGAATGATGATATCGTTAAGGAGTTTAGCAGGGAACGTTATTCCTCTTTTGACAGGGCCCTGTCATTGGTTAGGGAAGCGGGGGGACGACTTCCTGTTTGTGGGTCCTTGGGAGGGTGAATCCATGTGCTCGGTTGTTGTCGGCCTTCCACGCCTGTTGCGGAGCAGAAGATGGAGGGGCCAGACACAAGGCTGTCGTTTTTGGGCATCGAGATCGACACCATGGACATGGTTTTTCGTTTACCGGACGAAAAGCTAATGGTGCTGCTGCAGCAGATTGACTTGGTCAAATCGTCTCGGAAGGTCCAGTTGCACACGATGCAAGTACTGCTGGATCATCTAGCATTTGCTTGCAGAGTTTTGCCCATGGGTCGCGCTTTTTGCAGGCGCTTGTCCTTGGCGACGGTTGGTATCAGGGAGGCTCACCATTTCATTCGGGTGACGGCCAAGCTGCGGGCCGACCTGCAGGTGTGGAGTGCCTTCCTGGGCAAGTATAATGGCCGATCATGCTGGTTGCAGGAAGCGGTTCCCAATGCCAAACTCAACCTCTATACGGATGCATCGGGGTCGGTAGGGTTTGGGGCTTTCTTTCAGGGTAAGTGGTGTGCGGCTGCTTGGCCGTCGGCATGGCGGGAGCTGGAGGTGATGCAGAACCTCACGTTCTTAGAGCTGTTCCCCATAGTGGTGGCGCTAGCACTGTGGGGGGACGAATTGCAGAACCGGGTGGTGGTTTTTCACACGGATAACATGAGCGTGGTCCATGTGATTAACCGATCATTGTCTGCGTCTCCTCCAGTATTGGCCCTCTTGCGTCACCTAGTGCTGCTTAGCTTGCAGTTTAATGTGTGGTTGCAGGCTCGGCACGTTCCGGGGGTTTTGAATGTGGTGGCTGACTCTCTCTCTCGGTTTCAGTGGGACCGTTTTCGGGAGTCGGCGCCGGGAGCAGAACAGGAGGGTCTTCGCTGCCCGGCATACTTATGGGACCTGGTTTCGGAGGGCTGATGTCCTTGGTATTGGAATCATTGTCAGCTGCTACGTGGAAGGCGTACAGGTCGGTATGGGTAGGTTGGTTGTCTTGTGTGGAAGGGTCTGATCAAATGTCATCGGAGTCAGTCCGGTTCTCAATAACGTTGCGCTACATGAATAGGCTCCTGGAGCAAGGTCAATCATGCGCCTCGGCTGAGAGAGCTCTGTCGGCTCTGTTGTTTTTGTTTTGTTTTTTAGGCTTGCGGGACTTAATGAAGTAATTTTGCCTGCAAGGGTTCTGCGCGGTTGGAGGAGTCGGAGGCGTCCAGACCGGCGGCGGACGATTTCAGTGGACCTGTTGTGGCAGTTGTTAAGGGCGTTACCGGGGGTCTGTGGCTCAGTCTCTGAGTGTCGGCTGTTTCAGGTCAGTTTTGCGCTGTGTTTCTTCGATGCGTTGCGGGTGGGGGAGCTTGTCGCCCCCAATCGCCGGTCGGTTTCTCCTCTCTTGCTATCGGATGTGCGTTGGGCAGATGGGTTTGTGGACCTGCATATTCGCAGATCCAAGACAGATCAAGCCAGTGTTGGTGCGTGGCTCAGGGTGGGGAGCTCGGGGGGTGAGTATTGTCCGGTCCGGCTCTTCCAGCAGTATATGGCGAGCCGGCCGGCGTCGGCCTCGCTGTTAGTGCATGCGGATGGGTCCCTGCTTACGCGTTTTCAGTTTGCGTCGATGTTGGGGAGAGCTTTGGTGGACTGTGTCCAGATCCATCTGGTTTCTCGCCTCATTTTTTCAGAATCGTGGCCGCAACTCAGGCTAGCTGTATGGGTTTGGTGGGTTCAGTGGTGCAGCGATTAGGCAGATGGTCTTCTAGGAGATATCAACTGTATGTCCGACTGCATCTGTTATAATTTGTTCCAGGTTGTGTTCCCCGTTATGTTTGGATCTTGGGGCATTCGTTGATTTATTGGGCAGCTCGACGGGCTCAGTCTCGCTCCTATGGACGGAACCTAGGGATCTCCTCGGATGTAGTAAGGGTACGCTGGAGGGGTGTTCAGGGTCTGTCCTGGAGGCAAGTCTATCCGGAGTGTGTGGCCCTTAGCAGGTTCGTGTCAGTTCCTGTTACAATTTTGATTCATGTGGGGGGTAATGATTTAGGGAGGGTTAGAACGGTGGATCTTGTGCACTCTCAAACACGACTTGGCACGGTGTTTAGCTCTATTCACAGACTGTATTCTTATTTGGTCGGAGATTGTTCCCCGTCCTGGCTGGCATGCCTTGCCACATGCCAAGGGTCTGGAGTGGAGCAGGTGCAAGCTCAACATGACGATCTCCCGGTTTGTGCAGCGGCTTGGTGGTGTGGCGGTCCGGCATGTCTAGCTGGAAGGGGACAATAGGAATTTGATGAGGGCTGACGGAGTGCACCTGAACCAAATAGGATTGGACATTTTTAATGCGGGTCTGCAATCGGGTATAGAAAAGGCTCTGTCTGTGGGGGGCTCGATGCAGGAAAAGGAGATGGAGGGCCGGCATCGCGGTGGCGGAGTTCCTGGCCAGCGAACGTAATGCACGGAAAGGATTTGAGGAGTCGCAGCCTGCTAGGGCTGATGGCCAAAGGCAGGCTGTACGAACTCTGGATAAAGACTTGGAGTATCTGTCTGTTGCGTAGTCACCCCAACAGCTGACAGGTGGAAATGCTGGCGCTGTTAAAGTTTAATAAAGCTGTGGCCATTGCCTTTACCCAACAATCAGGTGTCATGTCGTTATTTGGGGTAACGGGTATGGCATTTGGGTCAGCAGTCAAGATATCCCCTGGACTGCAAGGAAGGGGAGGCATGACTGCTGTCCTGCAGTAAGGGGGCGGGAGTATTATAGATACATAGTTGCAAGATGGGGGGATATAAGAAGGAATGCAGAAGGGAGGGTACTCACCAGAGCAGAAGGAGCGGTCTGGAACAGTTTCCCGCCCGCCCTCCCCAATTTTCTAGGCTATGTGATGGTTTCTGTATTGTAGTGTTGTTTGTTTCTGTTCTTGTTTTGTCACAGCTATGGCGGAGTTCCTGGTCAGTGCACGTAATGCACGGAAAGGATTTGGGGAGTCGCAGCCTGCTAGGGCTGATGGCCAAAGGCAGGCTGTACGAACTCTGGATAAAGACTTGGAGTATCTGTCTGTTGGGTAGTCATCCCAACAGCTGACAGGTGGAAATGCTGGCGCTGTTAAAGTTTAATAAAGCTGTGGCCGTTGCCCTTACCCAACAATCAGGTGTCATGTCGTTATTGGGGGTAACGGGTATGGTATTTGGGTCAGCAGTCATGTATATAATGTAGAAAACCTGTTGGAATAAAATAAAACGCACCCTTACAAATCCTTACCCCTCCCCCCCCAACATACATATAAACTCTCTGTAACGGACCGTTTCAGCACACAAGGGGTTAAAGCCGTTTAGGCGATCGTCCCCTTTCAGAGATGCAGGCACAGCTACTGTAGAACACCAAACTCCCAAACCGCATGTAAGGGAATGCTCCAAACTCCCGAATGGCATACAATATAGCACTCCAAACTCACGAACTGGAACCATACGAATAGCTGCTAGCAGACGAATAGGAAAAGCACCCAAGCTTACACTCCTAGCAATCAGTCTCTATCAGCATTCAGTAAATCCCCCCAAAGACGAGACAAGGCTCCGTGTTGATGGTGAAGCAGTGGTCTGTTTAATGAGGGCTACCTGCCCAGTATTTATGCAGGTCTCCCACCTGGTGGACACTCCCCTAGGGAACCAAATGGGAGACTGTGACAAAAGACAGACAATCAGCCAAACAGGACACACAGTCACATTATATTCCCACAATGCATCCTGGCTTCCTCCCCTCTGCCCTGGAGATAACTGAGAAGTAATTCAATTATCTCCCAGGACAAAGGCAAATCGTCATTATGCACGTGGGGATACTAAAATAAGAATTACTATTAAAATACATTATATGACATAAGTTACAATAAAACTATACATTTAACATATCCCCAGATAGCTCAGGTCTGAGCGCACATTATTAAGCGAATAGCGCTCAGACCACACGGATACAATTCAATCGCCATGGAGCCAAAGTCTTTACAAAGTTAGTTCTCATACGAATGAGTTCCATGGGATTCCTATCTGGGGTATAATACAGTCAGGTAAAACTACCGAACACCGGGCCGTTCATGCACTTTCACCGAACAAGAAGGGAGGTCGCGCCAAACTATGTCCGTTTTTAGTTCCATGAGTTAGGCGTCGAACACCGCTGTGCGTTCGCGTGTTTAAAATGGCCGCGACCTCATGTTCATTATACGAATGGCGGCCACTCAGTATTCATCAATTAAGCTGCGGTTAACCGCAGCTTCTGGGAGGCTAATTGCCAGCATACTTCAGCTCCCAGGTGGTCTAGTCATTCGTGCGGTTGTTCGGTAGATTGAATCTACCGAACACCGGGCAGAAAAGCACGAATAAGTCTTTTCTGCAGGGGAAACGTGGTCTTTTAACATGGGGCCATAATCCAAAGGCAGCAGGCGAGCAACCAGGCTTCTCCAATGCAATGTGGCGAGATTGCTCTCGTCACAGTCAGTATATGTGTCTGTGTGTCAGAGTGTGTATCTGTGTGTCAGTGTATGTGTCTGAGTGTCAGGGTATCTATCTGTTTTTCAGGGTATGTATCCTTAAGTGTGTCAGTGTATGTATATATGTGTGTGTATCTGCATGTGTGTCAGTGTTTGTATCTGTATCTGTGTGTCAGGGTATGTATCTACATGTGTGTAATTGCCTATATCTGTGTCAGTGTCTGTATCTGCATGTGTGTCAGTGCCTATATCTGTGTCAGTGTCTGTATCTGCATGTGTGTCAGTACCTATATATGCATCAGTGTCTGTATCTGCAGGTGTGTCACTGTATCTGTGTGTCAGTGTTCGTATTTGTATGTCAATGTGGGTATCTTTGTCTGTATGTGTGTCAGTGTATGCATCTGTGTGTGTCAGGATATGTATCTGTGTATCTGCATGTGTGTCAGTGTATGTATCTGTGTTTCACTGTATCTTCTTATGTATCAGGATATGTATCTGTGTGTGTGTGTGTGTGTGTGTGTGTATATGCATGTGTGTCAGTTTTTTATTCTGTCTGTATCTCTGTGTTTCAGTGTTTATATCTGTATGTTTGTGTATCATTGTGTCTGTGCATCTGTATGTATGTCAGTGTGCATATCTGCGGGTGTGTCTGTGTATCTGTATCTATATGTGTGTCAGTGTTTGTTTCTGTGTGTCTTCATGTGTGACAGTTTGTGTGTCTGGGGCGGAGGAGCAGCAAAGAGAGTCTGGGGCGGAGGAGAAGCAGGAAAAGCATGGGGCAGAGGAGACGCAGGGGGAGCCTAGGGTAGAGAAAAAGGGGAGATTGAACAGAGAAAAAATTATAAATTTGAACTAAATGCAACTATATAAATTACAACATTTTGCTAATGTGAGGGGTACAATTTATGGAAATGGTCTGCTCAAGTGAAAAAAGGTTGGGAACCACTGTCCTAAACCATTTTCTTTTGCTGATTTAATAACAATACAAGGTTTAGAAAAAAGAAAGCACTAAATGATACACTTGCTTGTTGGCTTGATGCCAGTGGATCTGTGGGACAATGCAGTATGCAGAGTCACAGTGACAGCAGGATATGTCCTGGTAAAGTATTCTTCCTACTCTGAAACCTGAGGCTGTTTGTATTGCGATCCTTTAGAAAGTCATTTTAACCTTTTCAGTGGCAGAGGATGTGTTGCCATCTCTTATCAAGTCAAACATTTAGAAAAGATGCTACAGTAGATAGATCAAATGTACTTAGTCCCTGTTTTCTTTCACCACATTTATTTGTCCAAGGTCATATTCCTACTTTCTATCCGTCCACATTCAACTTCATTTTCCTTTTACTTTTTAATTTGCTATCATGTCCCCTTTATGCTCTCCACCCCTCTCTAACTTGCCATCATGTCCCTTAACAATGAAGGGCAGGGTCACGAAAACACCCGACCCAACACACAGTACCTTAGTCACACCTCAAAGGAAGAAGTTCTGGGATCACAAAAGTTAGCAATAATAATAAAAAAAAAGCCATGGTCAAGGGTTGCAGAAGGTAGAGCTGTAAAGAACAAGCCAATCTCAGTAAACCAAAAATTAAACCAGAATAACAGTAACCTTAACACATTCACGGATCACTTCAAGGGAAACCACGAAAGGATAAAGCATTGCATGCATGGAGGGCTTAAATAGCCCTATAACTCTTATGATTGGTTTTCATCACTCCTGCAACACAGAACTGTGTGTGGGCAATATGGCAGTATGGCGCAGGTACACATGCACCAAAAGTCCCTTTAAATTACTCTTTTTTGTGCCCATATTGTTTTGTTTTTTTTCTGTGTATTGGGCTGATGTGTACTCTATTCATTGCTGCCTCCCAGGAGTAGTGGCATTTTGTAGAATATTGCATATTCTATGTTTCTATTGATTATATATATGGATGTGTGGATTGACATAAGTAGCAGATGGTATAAGTCACAAGGCTTTCTTTGTCCAAGAGCTCTGGAATGTGGATTTGGGGGTTTTGTCCTTATATGGCTAGAGTTAAATGCTGACGTTAGTATTAACACATCTTTATAGTAACAGAGGGACACGAGGTCGCTCTCTGTCTTGGCTCTTGGCTCTGTACAACGATGTAACTCTCCCATCAGAAGTCCAGC